TACATTTTTGCTGTGGGGACTAACTATTCTACCTATATCTTCCATGTAGCCCATTATTCCCACAAAAAAATCCAAACCCATACTCTCCCTGTCTCTCCCCAAAGTGACAACAAATCCAAAATAATCTCCTGCAGGCGCCGAGACATCTCTGACTGTGTGACTTAGAATTTTCAAGTCTACAAAACCAGAAACACGTCCCTAAATAAAATGAAACAGAACAGAATGTAACTAAAACCTTCTGATTTAAGTAGGTAACAGCTGAGGCTCATTAACAGACAACTACACGTCTATCCAGAAAAGTGGAGGAAGAGGGTAACTGATACAGAATAAACTGTTTGGCTGGCAACAGCCACCAGAAGAAAGAATTAAATTTCAAAATACAGCTAATTCTTATGGCTTTACACTCATAAATCAAATATTTAGGGTTCTTTCAAAGGCAACTTCATTGTTCCTTTAAATACAAACTACTCTGAGGAAGCAAGACACAGAGAAGTGCAAAGGAAAGCTCAGAAAAGCAGAAGCCGTGCATTGTTGCCAATCTAGACAATGGAAGTTTCCCAACAAAACTCAAAACTTTACTAATTTGTACAGCTGCTTTTCTCCTAAAAAGTTTCTAATGTTAACCAAGAGATAAATCTGATCAAAGCATTGAGGAGAACACCTACTGCAAGTGTTCTGGAGAAGTCTACAAATAACAAAAGACTTCATACAGTATTCTAGAAAATAAGCCCACACTTCATTTAACAAGAGAAGATATAATATATGCAGAAATCTGGACAACAAAGAGAAACTCTCCAATCTTCTAAAAAAGTATACGTCCACTACTTTTACCAATACATACCGCAGCCCAGGGAACATGATTTTATTGTCGGGGAAATCAATTCCTTGGCAGAGTTTTGGGTATTTGGCCATTAAGGAAAAGAACACACCAAATTAACAGAGCCTACTCATATGAGTCATTTTGTTTGTCTTGTGTTATCTGTGAATGTCCTCCTTGAGTGCTTTTGAAAGAGTGGGTGGATTGGAACAGCACAGAAGTCTGCATTTTGCAGACAGGAACAGCGATATGCAGTACACAACAATTAAACAGATTATCTTGTGACACAAAAAAAATTGCAATTCATGTTCAGTATTTTACTGATAATCTAGTCAAAGACAAGATTTAACCTCATAAAATGTCCCCAGAGACCTTACTCTTTCAGAAGCATAAGATTCTGGCTCAATCTTTGTTACCTATAGATCTTGAATATGAAGATGCATCAAAATTTTCCTATGAAAACTCTGTAGAAAACTCCATAATCATTTTCCAAATCAACAATAAACTGTCTAGTTACACTACATGCTTCCTGACCTTTTAAAAACCGCTATTAAGACACAAGGTGCATTTCTTCAGACCCATGACTAGGTAAACAGCAGAACGTCACATGGGTCAGATAAAGCCTGTTTCATACTTACGAGTCCCTTTCTACTACTCCCACTAAAAGGATTAAACTAGTCACTGTTTTTCTGGACCCAGAACTACATTGTGGAACAAATTTTGTGGTCTGATGACATTACGAGGAAGAAAAAAAATACAATATACTCACTTAAGTAGTTCAGTTTAGTACTCCAAGAGCAACAGTAGTAGAATCCAGTATGAGACAGAACAGAACTTTAAGTGAGGACTAAAACTGGGTACAGGCCCAACTTCTACGCTTAGTCTGCACCATCAGAGGTATTATTGCATGATGACACCTATGCCTTTTAGAGTTCTAAAGATAATCACAGAATGGTAGGGGTTGAAAGGGACCTCTGGCGATCACCTAGTCCAACCCCCCTGCCGAAGCAGGGTCACCCAGAGCAGGCTGCACAGGACCTCATCCAGGCAGGTCTTGAATATCTCCAGAGAAGGAGACTCCACAACCTCCCTGGGCAGCCTGTTCCAGTGCTCCGTCACCCTCAGAGGGAAGAAGTTCTTCCCCATGTTCAGACGGAACTTCCTATGCTTCAGTTTGTGCCCGTTGTCCCTTGTCCTGTCACTGGGCACCACTGAAAAGAGTCTGGCCCCATCCTCCTGACACCCACCCTTAAGATATTTATAAGCATTTATAAGGTCCCCTCTCAGCCTTCTCCAGGCTAAACAAGCCCAGCTCCCTCAGCCTTTCCTCGTAGGAGAGATGCTCCAGTCACCTCACCGTCTTCGCAGCCCTCCACTGGGCTCTCTCCAGTAGATCCTCATCTTTCTTGAACTGGGGAGCCCAGAACCTCCCTCAACCTGCTCGCCACACTCTTCTTAATTCACCCCAGGATCCCACTGGCCTTCTTGGCACTCAGACCATACTGCTGGCTCACAGTTAACCTGTTGTCCACCAGGACACCCAGGTCCCTCTCCACAGAGCTGCTCTCCAGCAGGTCAGCCCCGAGCCTGTGCTAGTGCACTGGGTTGTTCCTCCCCAGGTGCAGGACCCTGCATTTGCTCTTGCTGAACTTGATCAGGTTCCTCTGCACCCAACTCTCCAGCCTGTCCAGGTCTCGCTGAAAGGCAGCACAGCCTGCTGGTGTATCCACCACTCCTCCCAGTTCTGTGTCATCAGCAAACCTGCTGAGGGTACACTCTAACTCTTCATCCAGGTCGTTGATGAAGAAGTTAAACAAGACTGGGCCCAGTACTGACCCCTGGGGGACACCACTAGTTACAGGCCTCCAACTAGACTTAGCACTGCTGATGACAACCCTCTGAGCTCTGCCATTCAGCCAGTTCCCAATCCACCTCACTGTCCACTCATCCAACCCACACTTCCTGAGCTTCCCTATGAGGATGTTATGGAAGACAGCGTCGAAAGCCTTGCTGAAGTTGAGGTAGACTGCTCTCCAACTGCTCTCCCCTCAACTACCCAGCCAGTCATGCCATCATAGAAAGCTATCAGATTAGTCAAGCATGATTTCCCCTTGGTGAATCCATGTTGACTACTTCTGATTACCTTCTTTTCTTCCGCTTGCTTAATGATGACCCCCAGAATGAGCTACTCCAGCATCTTTCCTGGGATGGAGATAAACCCTTCTTACTTACTAAAGACAGACATTCTAGAAATCTTTGCCTATAGAAATTGGACCACAATGAAAAGCTGTCAAAATTAGTCTTTTCATTGTATCTTCTTGTAGATTCTGACCAATTACTTTCTATGCTTTTGTAGCATACTGTTCTGTCCCGTATCTTCCCCCAACCACAAGCTATTTTGCTCATCACACAACCAAAACACTGGACAACATAATGGATGGGTGAAGAGGAACACATCTTTCTCCCTTTTTGCCCCTATTTTTTTTGGACAGTAATGCATAGAACAGTTCAAAATAAAACTACAATTGCATTGATACATAAAGCATTGTTATCAATTGTTATCACATATAAAAAAGAATGACCTGAAGGTAAGGAAATATGTGCAAGATGCCTTATCTTTAGTGTGAATTATCTTCAGTATATGCCAAACACACCACATTAACGTGAAGACACCTGATTCTTGTGATATGACAGAACATTGCTATGCATAAAAACAGGACAGAATGTCTTTAAGGATAGGAAAAAAATACAGTAAGCCACAAGACGTAAGAAGCAGCTCAACAAGTGGGCCTTTTGTATTCCATTTTTTTTTATTAAGACAAATGCCAAGTTCTCTAATTCAGTTCTACTACTTCTTTTGTCTCTTTCTGTGCTTCTTAGCAATTACAGTTGTGCCTACTTTTGCAGGGACTCTTAACAGAAGGGAAGCATGGACTGTTACTATTTATCTGTCAGTACAAGTGCCAAAATCAGTAAAACAAACAAAACTAGTATGCACATGCATGTCTGAAGCCCTTGATCAACCAAAAATGCTATTGCTAATTTAAAATCACAGCTACTAGGAAAGCATATTAGAGGCCAGGTGACAGGTAAATTAGTAAATTAGTCTACGTATTTCTGTTTCCATTTCGTAAGTGAACTTCGTTCTGTATTTCATTAAAGGCTCCAGTCAAGTTAGCCATTTGGAATGACACAGCACAGAGAACACATAATGCTTCAAAGCATCCTTAAGACAGGTCTTCTAGTACTTATTTTCCCCTCTGCCATAGGGTAAGAAAATGCACAAATGGGAATAAGCAAAGGTACCAAAGTGCAGCACTAAATGGCAGGCACACGAGACACTATATCATCATACTGTCTCTCTACTGTTAATTCTTCTAACACCATGGAACATTAGGTTAAATAACCGATGTAATGTAACTTACCTGCCTTTCACAAAGGATAAGCTACCTTAATAAGGCACCACAATTTCAAGCACTGACACACTGACAAAGCTACCAGCACCTGTCAAAGCCCATTGTTTGCTATGCTCAGGCAGATGAACCTCTACTACAGAGTACACAAAATCCAAGACAAAAAAGTGAAGTTATTAGTATGTCGTAAGTGGAGATTTTCAAATTGCCTTATAATTTGTGAAAATGGCACAGCAACTGGATGTTGTACGCTGAGTGTCATTATCATGTCCAATATATCTCAGCTTCTAGAAATGAAATTATTTTAACTTTCAACTGTTTTAACAAAAATAGTTCTGGAGAAAGATCACCTCCCTTCCCTATACAAGTATTTGTGGGATTTTCTCGCTGCAACAAACTTTTAAGGAAGTAACTTCACACTTTATGCATAAACTGTATTTCCTTTTTTTCGACCAGCTGCAACAGTACCAGCTTAAAACCACTTTGCTATAGCACAATTCATGTAAGTAGCCTTCTGTATTTTAGATTTTTTTATGTTACAGCAAATGATGATGAATTTATAAGCAATAATTAGCATATAAAACAAAAAACTTCTAAAAAATAACTTCATAACCCATAAATTAGTTGTTATAAAAGTTCCACTGAACTACCAGAGAGCACTAGATAGACCCTTGCTGAAAACAATGAAGTTAAAAGAGACATTATTAATAACAAATGTAATTCAATTGCTCTATTTTTATTTAAATAAAATACAAGATTTAGCTACATACAGTTCCAGAGAGCACATCATGAGGGCAACAATTGAGAAGGTGGCTCTTGCACACTCTGTCATCACTGAATTTGATTCGCTGACGGGTTGTGTCACCTGCAATATAGAAAACAACACATTCCAGGTTAGAAATCTGGGGAAACCAGGTACATTCTGCAGGTTACATGCAAAGCATTAACATTGCCCTGTCACATAGTGAAGGCCTATGGAAACTAGAACTTAAAACACTGAATGCTTCTTTGCCAAATAACACCAAAAACACAAATGCATGTTTAAATGCTCTATAATGCTATTTTAAAATCCTCTCACACTTCCCCTTCAAAAATGCAGTGTGAAAAGTGCTTGAGAACAGAAAGACGGCATTAGCTTAAAAACACTTTGCTACAACAGCATTTGATAAATGAGCTATATAACATTCTACTCAGATTTTGCATGAAGTAGTCATGTATTTGTATACAACAATTAGCATATAAAAGCAGCCTCATAAACACAAAATGATACACACTGAGACTTCACCGTATCCCACTTGATCGTCATTTTATGATTTTGCTCTTGGATGCAATGCACCCTCTTACTTCTGATGGGAACAGCATAAACAGTTGGCAGAAGAATAATTTTAAATGCCTACAAACCTGAAAAGTAGTTGGTCAAACATATGGACATAGCCTATATGCAAAATTATTTTACAGATGCTTGCATATCTCTGTATCACAAGCCATATTTTTTTTTCTTTTCTACATGCTGTTTATTGGGCTGGGAACAGCTTGATTAGATCTTCATCATGGCAGGTTGTAGTTCCTGCATCAGCAGAAGCATCAACCTGCCCACACGCTGAGGTCCAATTGCAAGTTTAAACAACTCCATCTTGGAGCAAAACCTGAAGTCTTCAGAACAAAGTAATCAGCTGGTATTTTGGGGATGAGGGCAGGAATATGTTTTCTGTTGAGTCATAACATAACTGTCACTATTTGAGACTTGGAAGAGAGACGACTGCTACGGCTCTCTTATTGTTAAGGCACAAGCATGATAAAACACCTTAACTTCTCTCAGGATGTATCTATTTATTTATTTTTTAAAATGTAACAACTTGCTAAACTCTCCAATCCTTGAAAACCTACTGGTGAATTACTGAAGCAAGGGCTGCTAGGGGGAAAAAAAAAAAAGACATACAATGAGTTCAGACAGCAGCCTTTCCCATTTCATCAAATATTTTAAAGAACGTAGATACATTCTGCAGTTAGTAAAGTTTTTTATGGCTTCATGACCTGAAACACTGAGAATCTTTACTCTGTTAAACAACTGAAGAAGCCAAATTCATTACTGAGGTAACTACAACAGAGGGGAATAAAGCCCCGTATCTTATCAGTCAAGCCTTTCTTACTACTGCGTAATCAGATTTTTAAGTATCAGTTCTATGCATAGGATGCTAACATATAACATTTTCAGATGGGCCAAGTTTCAGATTATTAAGCAAGCAAAAGTTTCCAAAAATATCACACGCTTAATTCGCCTGCGGGATACAACAGTTCAAACCTGTAATCCACAGGCTGAAGACAGCTTCACAGCAGTTCAACAATAGGTTTTCTAGAGGGCGACCTTACTGCTTAGTTATATTACACTACTAAAAATTTAGAGCAATCCCTTTATAATCATGCCCGCTGCTGCAGTAAAGAGTTTTGTTTTATTTTTTTCTCTTTTTAGGAGGTGGATCCATATTTTTTTAAACACATCGCTGCGTTTGTTCCACATTCATTAACACATCTGAAAAGTTATTGATAACTCACGGCTCGGCGAATGCGGGGCCTTTCTGACACTCCCTTGCAGACTGATGTAGGCAGGCAAAGATACATTGAACCTTTATAAATAAAACAAGGGGCCAGATTGTTCAGTTTGTATAGAATAATAGACTCTGCCAGCAATTTTAACACAGCATCTAGAAATACATGTTGACTATAAAGATTCTTCTATATAAAGACAAATGAACAAAATCAATAAAAGTATTTTTTTAAAAAGACAGCTGATGGCCTAATAGCACTAACCCATCAGGAGTCAAGGAGTTATCAAGACCAGAAAACTCCTGAAAGACTCATTGTTCCTTAGGTAAAGTTGGCAACTAGTATTTTCACAGACATTACCTCAACATCTAGACATAGCTTTTTTCATACCTCTATCACAACTAAGAACTAATGCTACAGCTGCAATAGTCTTTCTTCATCTAAGTGGCTAGCATGACAATCACAATTACCAAACTGAGATAAGACAACATAGGAAAAAGGAAAAATAAGTTAGCAGAAACTGACCAATAACAGCCTTAAGAACGTGTTCCACATTTACATTTTAAACGCTTATTCTTTCTGCACTGTGCCTTTGGTCTAGTATTTAAGAGACTTTGAGAAAGGCTCCCCTACACAGATATTTACCTTCTCCTTCCTATGGAAAGCAGTTTCATACACTTGCATTTATCTCTAATCTATGCTGTTTCAGAAGAAGAGGCTTAACAAAGAGAAAAGGTGTCGTATACTGTGTCCTAACAATGACTGAATTTTGCGTCCCTCTGGCAGCTCATTCCCAAATCTGACAGCCTCAGAACAAAATGCTTTTATTTCTTCCTGAATTTTGTGAGCTCTGATACCCCTAAACAGTGCAGACCTGTTTGCAAAGACTGAAGATGCATTCTGCTGACCTACAGATGAATCATTTTGAGTAGGTGGTCATCTGGGGTCTACACGGGTTGCTGAGGGGGAGGGCAGACTAAAATCTACAGATCCACTACACACCTGACATTCAGCCTACAGCAGAACAGACTTTTGCAGATGCCTTCTAAGAATTAACATCAACAGATGTGTTCTTAAGCCAAGGACCTCAGTGATACATCAGATCACCAAGACACTATTTCTCTTTGTCAAACTGTACTTAGGTTGATACGCTCTTTGTATGGTCAAATAATCAAGTGAAGGCTAAGCAAAGTTTATGAGTATTTTTCAAAAGGCTTTACATATTCTGTAAAAAGAAACTAATACATCTAGGTACCAAGTAGCTGCAGCCACCTAAATCTTAGAAGTATCCTTAAACGTTTATAAAGGGGACACTATTACTGATATTTCAGACCTTACTACAAGTTCTATTTTAACAGGTAAATAATTAGTTCAGAATAGCAACTTTTTTAATCCTGCCTCTGAAGAACAGCAGAGTATACAACTACTTGATCTTTCAGACTCTTTCTCATTAAAGAAATCAAAGTAATTTATCAGGGCATTACAGGAGTCACCATCCATTACTATAAGCCATCCCTGTGTTTCCAATAAGATTTTCTCCATTAAAAAAAAAATAAATCATATGATTGATAAAATTTATATGGAGGCACAGGAAAAAAATTACATTTTCCTCAAGAAGCAACACCTTTAGTTTTACTTAAAGTACCTGGCCCAAACCACATTTCTATGACAGATTACTTTCCAGATGAATGGAGAACTTTGAAACAGAACTGAAACCATTCAAGAAAGCAAGCTAAACACCAAGAGAAATTTCTATAATTGTGCATCTCATTCTTTCTAAGCATAAGGAAATTGCACACTAGACACAAAAATATTGAAGAGACGACAGCAGTAATGTAAATTTTCTAAAGGAAGTTTTCTAGCTTGTATTAAACATGCTGACTACAAAAGTAACATCAATATTCAAGACCAATGCATACTGCTGATTAAGGAACATCCAGAGGTTAAGATCACAATGTGCATTTGCACTACACAATTCACTTTGAATTCCTCAGTCTAACCTATTGACCAGCCTCCACAATGTCATTCCTGTCCAGCATATTTCAATCACAAGCCAGCAGAATGAACACTTATGTATCAACAATGCTTGGCATTATAACATGTTTCTAACAATAATTTACTTGATCCAGCATCTCTTACTGTTCTGATGTATCCTAAATACACTACTAACAACAGACCCAGTGCATTGATGAGAATTACCCTTCGTAATCCAACCGTAACCTCCAATCACAAACTAATGGCGCAATCCACGCAGAGACAACTGGGGGCATTTTCATTTCCCTGCTGTTGACTTCCTGTGTTAAGCTACATCAACCCAAACCGGCTGGCTTTCCACTCAAATTTTTGAAGCATGAGTCCCAAAGTGTTGGCAAGGGACTCTAAAAACTTTGCTCACGAAGAGCTACTAACTGGGTGGAGTATCAGGTTAAAGACTGCGTATCAAATTTCATCAGCAAAGCAAGCCCTGCATAACAAGTATTCAACATCATTACTTAACTGAGGCTTATGCAGTCACAGAACATCCTGTTGCTCCTACACACTGAACACGCACCTAATTCTGATATTCCTGTCACTAACACTGGACACATCTTTACCATAACACTGTTAGAATAATACATTTCTAAGCAGGATTGTTTCTGGTTAACACTATGACTCAATTAATACTTGTGAATGCAGAATATAATGAAACCACTTTTTAGCTAATGCATTGCAAGTGGAACAAATATAGGAATGATTTTCTGTGAGGTATAAATAAGCCCATTTGCTTCTTCATAAATGCCATTTCATACACTGTCCCAAATCCAGAGTAGAAAAACTCCTCAAGTCCTTCATTGCTTCCTTAATTTTTAAGGGCTAAAGTACCAGCACCGGGTACTTTTATAGCAAAGCCAGCAAATGCACAGGCGTTGCTACACACAATCATTGCTCTTCAAGCTTTCTGATCACTCTTGCTTGACACACAAAGAATCTTTTCATGAAGTTTACGTGTTGCTACTACTTTTAGATTTCTAAGCTGATGCAAATTAAACATTCTGGGTAGGTTTTGCAGGTATTCACGTATACAAGATACTTTTTTTCTGCCTTTATTTTGCTGCTGCCCCGTATTTGAAAGAAGAGCTCTCAGTGGAGGCTCCTGGCTCCCTAACCCGGCTCTCAGCTTGAAGCTACCCAAATGGCTAGAAGTTCTCCAGTAATGGACAGCAACGTGTTGAAAACTGACTTCAAAAGCACATACTACCTTGCGCCTACAAGTGTAAAGCAAAGTGGAAAACAAAATCTATGTAACCTCAACTCACCACCCACCCTTAAGTACAGCGAGAA